TTTTGCCTGTGGATTGAGGACATACCTCAAATCCCTTCATCCATCAATGTATGAGTTAGGTAAATAGCCCTACCGTACTCTAGCGGAGCTATCAATATATCGTCTTCAGAACTTTCTCTAGCTAATAAATTATCGCATTAAGACTTACTGTGAAATTTCTTGTCACTTTTACCCAATTTATAAATTCGTTTCCCGGGAAATTGGAACAGATTTCCAGGAATCGGGAATAGTGAGTTTCGGTAACAGGTAGGAAACACTACTTTACATTTTTTTTGAAAGAACACATTAGCCTTTGAATAATTCCATTAATTACAGTTTTAAGTGCTTTTATCACCCTATTTTTCTTTCAGTTCATTAAATACAACCGTAATTTTGTAGTTAAATGCATTCCCTACATTTTCAGAACCATTAATTACATTTGGAGTACTTGTAATTACGTTAAGTACGGTAAAATAATTAACATTACTTTCATTACAAGTTCAAAATGCATTTATTACATTAAGTACATTTTCTTCGATTTTAAATCCAGTGCACCAGTTCTAGGTATTGCATGCCCCTTTGGATTTTTTTTTAAATTTTTTTTAACACTCGGGTTCTTGGGTAAAAATGCATGGCACAACTAAGGACCTACACCCAACCAGGGGAGGTAAGATTTAATTATAATTATGAGGGATTCATCGTCGCAGAATGTTATTGGAAACCAGATGAACGGACGATGAGAATAACCGGGTAGCGGTCCAATGCTAGAAAATGGAGACCGAAAAATGTGGATTGTATTTGTAAGTGAAATGAATTATCTAGAACAAAAAAAATAGAAACTGACTGGACTCGAACCACGAGTGTTGCGATTATCTGACCGGTGCCCTCTCCACTGCTCTCTCTCTCTCTATGCTTCGGAATATGACTCGACTAAAAGCAAATAAGAAGCGCTCATTTCCTCGCCTACTCTTTGATGCATGCTTTTCTGCTGAACGGGAATTGGAGGGAATCGTGGCAAGTTTATGCGTCGTTCTACAATGTTATAATTGAAAAGCATTTCTGCCGAAATCATACACAGAACATGTAATAGAAAAGATACATAATCATTGCATCGTCTGCAACTCATATAATTCGCTGAGGAAAATGATTGGAAGAGCAACTAACATTCAATAAAATATATGTTTGGTTTACGTGTATTTTTCTCAAATCTGAATTTGTTTTCAATATTCGGTCACTTGGACTAAATTTCGCTATTATTTGACCAAAATGTATGCCATCCCGTAGCCAAATTTGTCAAGCTTCCGGAACTAGAACAGAATTCAAGGTTATAGATAAAGCCATGACATGAAACCTTGCCAAATTTACGGGCGAACTAATCGCCAAAATTGGCAACTTGATAACAAGAATCAATATTCTGGGACAGCGAATTTTCAATTCATTGTTCCTATAACGATAATAAAATGATTTTTTTCATACTCTGCAGCATATGTTGATGCTTAATCATTTTATTTGAAAATTAGTTTAAAACTATAGAAATTCCACCATTTTCCAGTGAGCGTTGAAACTCTCATTCAAATTTCAGCCATTGACTGACTTCGATAAATTACATTCACTCTCTGGAAATTCCTCGTTCTCTCTACGGTCAACACCTCCCTCTTCGACTCTCTTTGAAGCTCTTTCTCTTCTTACACTCTCCCCCTGAAGAACGCGAACTCGGTCTACACGAGTTCCATTTACGTTGGTCTCGAATGATTCCGTTTACGCGAGGGAATCGCGTAAATGGAGTACTCGTAGCATATGGGATTCGACCTATTAGGGACCAACATGGAATATCTCGCGATCCTGGACATATAGAAGGTTACTGTCTTCGGCAAAGTTGTTCAGTAGATCAAGACCTAATGGTTGGTGGACAAGAAATTCGGAACTTTCTCATTACGCGGCGCTAGTGTGCATGAATTAATGATGCCCTTGATTGCGATGATGTGATGCAAGACCTAATGGTTGGTAAACACAAGTTCGGTTTTTTTTTCACTACGCTGCACTAGTGTGCTTGAATTTGTGATTCCCTAGTTTATGTTATATCTTGAAACCCTTGCCATCTAGAAAGTTGCTGTCTTCGGGAAAGTTGTTCAGTGGATCAAGAACTAATGGTTAGTTTGGAATTTTCTCACTACGCGGCGCTAGTGTGGTTGAATATGTGATTTCCCTGTTCATGTGATTTCTTGAAATCCTTGCCATCTAGGAAGTTGCTGTCTTGGGCAAAGTTGTTCAGTGGACCAAGAGCTTAAAAATAAATTATTTGATAATTCAGCAACTTCGTCCAGCTGCTGTATATGTGAGATGTTCTTCGTGTTTTATTACAAGAACCTGTCATTCTAGGAAAATATAACCTAGGAAAGTATAACATTATGAAATCTGCCCTTAACCATTGTTTGCTGCAGGAGACGACTTCGAGCAACACAAAAGTCCAACATGGAAAGTAGTCAAGGAGAGTCGACTTCGTCATTCAGCAATATCACTTCTATCATTCCTTCGTATTTTTCACCCAGCAGCTATTTTTGTTTGCGTATCTACATTTGTTTGCGTTGAAATTTAAATAACAATCATATATGAATATGCTAATTTAAAATAACAGACAAGAGTGGTAATTTTTATACGATAGATGAGAAGATGAAAGTATAGAATTGATAGTTCCGTTAGAGTACGGCAGTCGAAAGGTACAGTAGCAGCACCTACCCTACCCGTCTCCCCTCGAGATCGTCAAGCCGACAGGGGCACATACCGTGGTGGAGGTAACAATAGCTGCAATTTGCAAACCTACGACTGGATGCCTTCCTTCAGATAACTACTTGAGTGCGGTAAAAATCGATAGAACTGTTTCAAACACATTGTCGGTGCATGAGCGTGTCGGTGATCATCTCTTTTTGCCAGTGGTAGCGGGGGGAGATACCCCTCACCATCCCTCTCCAACGGGGGAGTTTGGTAAAGAGAGATGATCAAACCGATTTGTACCTTCATTTATAAAAGTTGTCCTAGCTCGCTTTCTACTCTCTATATATACAATTTCACACTGCCGTACTCTAACGGAACTATCAATTCTATACTTTCATCTCCTCATTATTATGTATAAGGACAAGGGTTTTCACCGAGATAACTTTCGGAGAGACGTATAAATAAATCTGCACGCGTTCACTGTCTAATAAGTACTGATCAGATCGTTTATTGCTCTGGGTTTTATATCAATACACAACAATAGTAATTCAACTTCAAGACTGTGTTTACATGTGTTGGTGATACCGTTGTCGACATTCGACCTGCGAAATCGAACCGTCTGATAATTGGTCGATCATTTTGTTCAGAATCAGCTGAGCTTACCACGGATGATAATGCATCTGGATGGATCCCACTTCTAGATAGTGGAGGTACCTCAAATAAAGAATCGAGCATAGGAGGATCCATATCTTCCTCAAAATCCTCCCGACTCCTTTTCGTTCCACGCCTTACTACCGACTGAAACGCCACTCTGCGCCGTTTAATTTTTGCTGGCAAGGGTCCAGATTTTCAAATTAAAAACTTATTGGTGCTGTTCGACATTCTGGTTGACTATATGTGAATGGTTCAGTCAACTGGTTCTTGAAACATTTCTTAGGATTAACCAAGTCTAGCAAAGTTCTAGGCTTGTAACCTAAAACCATTTCTGAAGGATATAGTCCAGTAGAAGTGAGGCAGCTGTTTCGATAATTGAATAAGAAATAATTCAATCGGCATGTAAATCAAGATTTCTAAATTCTCGATCAATGAGAAACCTTTTTAAAACTTCTTTTGTCACTCTCACTAACCGCACTATCGTATAAAAATTACCACTCTAGTCTGTTATTTGAAATTAGCATCTTCAACTATGTTAATCGTTGACTTCACGCAGAAGTAATATAAAAACAAATAGTTAAAGTAATCATATTTGGTTTGGTTGTAAAAAATAATCAATTTCACCCAAAAAAGCAACTTCCTAAATGACAAGGATTCCAAGATATCACAAAAACAAGGACATCATTAATTCATGCACACTAGCGCCGCGTAGTGAGAAAATTCCGAACTTCTGTCCACCAACCTTTAGATCTTGATCCACTGAACAACTTTGCCCAGGACAGTAACCTTCTATATGTCCATGATCGCGAGATATTCTCCCTATTAGGTCAAATCCCATATGCTACGTGTACTTCATTTACGCGAATTCAATTTACGCGGTGCGTATTACTCCAACGGAAATAATAACTGCTAAAGGCACAGCCAGAACAAAGGCATCATTTCAATCAGAATCATAACCCGAAACACGTGACCACCAAACTGTTGTGCCTCAGCTAAAACCCGCAACAAATCGGTCACACATCGGTTCGAATTCCCTAATTATCGTTCCCATGTGCTGCACCACAAAGAAACCAAATCCTTCCCGCACAGAAGAAAGCAGACGACCAAATGAAATTTAGCCAAACCAACCACCGAAAAACCCCCAAAGGTAATCGGCAAAAATCTACCACATAATGATGGTGGTGGTCGTTGCACTCCCCCCCACCCCCAACCAACACAGCTGCCTAAGACAATTAGCCCGCTGAATGTCCGCGACGATCTCCGCTCTCTGGCTCACGGTCACCTGTGCAGTCAAAACTTCCCGTGTAACGCTGCACCACATGCCCGATTTTGTACCTGTTGTCTGTTGCGTGTGTATTCGCGTCGTCGTCGTCGTCGTCGAAAATCAGCCAGGCCAAGCACAATTGCAAACCTCGAATCCTAGTCCTTTCCCCTCGATTGTGCTGGTTCTGGGCGGCACAAGCGGGGGCCGGTTGCCTAGAATCGAAGGTTTTCAAGAAAGGCTATAGGGTACATATTGCGTTACATCACCGCCAATATTGACATAATTTAGCTAATTGAATTAGAACCGAACCACCGAAACGCGGACGGCCCCAACCAATGTTCGAGAACGGCGAGGTGCCGTACTCGGGGATATTCGTCCGTCGGAAGTCGACCGGTCAGCAACGGCTCGGTGCGTGCTGCTTTCGGTTCTTTGCAGGAAGTTTGTTTTTCTTTTCTGGAACAGTAAATTGGTGTTAAATTGTGGAAAAAATAGTTAGTTGATGGACTTTTCGATTAACAAAGCTGCGTATTTAATGGAAGACATCGATTGGAAGAAGCTCTAATGAAGAACTGCTGCGAAATTCTACAGCATAATTAAATTAAGTGCATTACGTAATTGGGTACAGCAGTGGAAGGGGTTCCAAGTTCAAAATATACATTTAACTGTCTCATTATTGTGAAAATCATTAAGTATACCGTGCCGTCGGTTGGTGTTCTAGTTGGATTAACTACTCAATATGAAGATCCCGTGACTAAACCTCAGCAAGGAATGCGCCAAACCAAGTGAATAATCCACCCGCCAAATCAATAATCCTCGCAATACCAGCTAAATTCCCCTGATAGCTGTCGGAACTTGTAGGGATTTCGCAAAACGAACCAAAAGCAATAGAACAAAGAAGTCCTGAAAAGAGTAACCGTCAACCTCCGACCGATGGTCAGTCGAAGAGTAATATCCGCGCAAGTGTGAATCATGAAGAAGACAACCGAATCCCGGGAGAACCTGGTCAACTCGGTGGGCTCGCTGGCCACCAACACCGACGATGGTCGCGGTGGGATGGAGGCGGACGTCGATGGGAAATCGATCAGGAGTGCCGTTTCGGAGTTCGACCGGGAAATTCCCGAGTTGATTCTGACGAAAACGGAGAAGAAGTTTCTGCTCAGTGCCGAACGGGGTGATTGCGCAACTGTTCGAAGGTAGGTCTTTACATGTATCCATGTATGTTAGGGGTGGCTTAATGTCAGTTCGGTGGACAGAGTAACAAGGTCAGTTATAACCAGTTATAACGTTTTGTATATGAGGAGCAACAGGCACGTGCCGTTGCATTTACAAGGCTTACAAGCACTTTTTGCATGTTTGCTTGCATGCTTCCATTTGGCAGCTGGTTGACGTCAATTTGAGTATGGAACTCTTTGAAAAGGTAATCCCAGGATTTCGAATACCATTTTGAGGCAATGATGACACAAGTAACTGGCACTCGCAATTAGAATTAGGTGTAATGGGAAAATTGGATGTTCTGAGTGGCGCAACGCGGGACTTTGGAATTCGGGCAAAGCTGGGATTGCTTGTGAATATTTGAGGTGGACAAAAGGGTGAACAAAGAGGTGAAGGTCTAAGATTTTGTGAAGTGGGGAGGGAATTTATATCTGTTAATGTAAGCAGTTCGTTTTTGTTTGCCAATCCGGTTGAATTGTATACTTAATTATCTTAAAGATAAATCGATCCGCTCAAACCTTTGTAGGCGGTAGGACCATAATCATCACTCGGATATGGGTAGAACTTATCTGCAATTAGCTGACCAAAAAACTTAAAAATACGACCCACTACAATATTCTTAAAATACAATCAATTTGTTTTGTTGGCTATCGACAGAAGAGACGTAAAATACTTTCGTCAACTAGAGTTGAAAATAACATTAGCCAATCCCGTAACCATTGTTCTATCCCACCATGTTCGTTTCATTGTCTTAGTACATACATTTTGAACGGAAGGGGGGATACCCCCGGGGAAACGGCTTCATTTTTCTTCAACCAAAACTCTTACGTGACACATCAAATCACATGAGAATTCAGAAATGAAGTGATTGGCGGGCATATTGAGTATGGGCCCTTTAACGGATTGAAATATTTCTTTTCTTGAAATTTCTTAAGTTGCCGCAAATTTTCCAGATGATCATAAAGCAGCCCTTAAGATCCTTTCATTTTCTCAAAGTTCTCTGAACTGCCTTGAAGTTTACGTATCTTTCATAAAGATCACTTTCCTTAGTATATTTCTCTAGAGTTCTTGAAAATCTTTGAACTTTCCTGAAATTCTTTTTACTTTATTTATTTATTAATTTATGTATAAACATCAACAAGCGTCATTGGCCCCAATGATGTAATCTAAACTAAACATGAAAAATACTAAAACTTAACATCAATAAGTCAATAGTCATCTCGTAAAAAAAGTAAGAGGTTGTATCCAAGACTCGACCGTAGATTTGATGTAGGATTACGTGCTTGGTATCAATATTTGGCAACTTATGTTTGCAGAAATTTGTCTAATTTTCAATAGTGACCTATTGAAAATTGATAAAGTTTTAATGAATACTAGATAAATTAACAATCGATTGGTTTGTTTATAATTAAAATCCATCCGCTATTGATAGAGTTATAAGTGATCAAAACCTAACCACTCTTCGTAACGCGGTAGATTTTTTTTTAATTGCACCCCCAATATGTGCCAAAAGACGTAATCCTACGTCAAAAATATGTGAAAATTGATTGTAGGATCTATAGAATCTAGGATTGATGACCTTGACAAATGTCCAAATAATACTCTTTAACAAAATTAAGGTGGTTCTGAAAAGGACCATTTTGTCGTGATTGTTGAGTAATGCTTAGCTGAGTGTTCAACACGGATGAGGCTGTTGAGCTGTATGTTGTTTGGAGCAAGGGTGACACGCTTGGCATAGATGACCCGCAGCGACTCACGAAGAGTTACTGATTCCGATCCATAGCATAGCGGTGTGGCTTCTTCCTCCTTCTATGGTTGCTCATATGGGCTCTGCAGCTCGCTGCTTGCAAGCAGCCTTTCGTTGTGTACTGGAGAACAATGTTCAACGCCACACGCCGAAAGCACTGCTGCTGCTGCTGCTGCTGTTAATATCGACGACCAAACACCACCACACACGGTGGTTGAATAAACACTGTTCGGTGAGACCGCATGGAATTCGATTTTTAAATCTGTGTTAGGGAAAGTGCTTTTTGTAGGCAATCGGTGATAATTTTAAATAAAAAGTTCATTTTAGAAGATTAGTAGATACATTTCCAATCGTTTAGCTTGTTTAGAACTAAAATCCATCTGCTATTGACAGAGTTATATGTGACCAAAATCTGACCTCTTTTCGTAATGCGGTCGATTTTGGTTTTTTTTAAATTGCTCCCCCAATGTGTTGCCGAAAGAAGTAATCCTACGTAAAAAAAAAACTAAACCTCCTGCTGTATTTTTTCGGACCGACAGGGGCTCCAGATCGATCAGTTGCAAACGACTTTCGTAGCTAGGCAATCGAAAGGGATCCGTCCACGGCAGTTTACGTAGCGCAACCGTCCAGGCAACCGAGCAGTATTCTAATATGAAGCGAGACAAGGAGCAGTACAACGATTTAAGGTGGTAGATATCCGTGAAGTCTTTGGCAATCCTGAAGATAAACCCTACAATTCTGGAAGCTTTGTCGACGGCATTCGAGATGTGCTGCTTGAAAGAGAGTTCCCAAGTTACAATTCCATGCTTAACAAGTGTTGTTAAATCGATTTTAATTCAGCCTTAGTTTGAATAATTGATGTACATAGACCACGTTAACCTTTGTTCAGCTTTTAAACATCTAAATCTGGTGATTTTATTCAGCCAAAAGCTCAACAGTCTTTTCCAACCTTCTAGTTTTATTTAGAAAAAATAATGGAAAACCCTCAGCAGTCGCTGATTCACAGGCATCAATCATACCTACTGGACTTAAGCATATGTGTGGCAAAAGATATGATCATTAACTTGAAACACATCAATTTTTAGTTGGATAACAGCATATACAGCAATGCAGAATTGTAAACAACAAGTGGTGACAGAAGAACATTCCTCTCATTTTCAGGTGTAGTTAACACAATGTGGACATAAGTGCGCGATTTATTTCGATCGTCATGTGGAAGCTGTTGTAGTGCCATAAATGAGTTATATTTTTGGAAATCTGTCTAAAAATGCAGTGCAATATAGCAGTCAAAACACAGAAATACAAATTTTAATGCTTCCGACGTAGTCGCAGCCCACTTCTATCTGGAGCTATTCCTAAAAAGCACCTCTACCTTGTCTCAACCGCTGCCGCTGCTTGGGATTAGAAAGGTAGGCAGTGAATTTAGAAGAACTAAAATGCCGGAAATGCAACGAGTGACACTGACTAAAATACATTCACTGAAAAATAGTAGTGGCTTCTGTTCGCTCTGGTTTGCAATGCATAAGAGATACGAATTTGACTTGTTAACAAGCTGCAGCTAATAACAAATCCTACCAAAGTTCTAAACATTATTTTGCGGAATTCTGTTCAAGAAAAAAGTTAGAGGCAAATGAATGTAAATGAATGCACGAAATGAATGCAAATGATTTTCCATGCCTGAGTGCATTGCTGATTTGTGGAGTAGTGTTAAGCTAAAATAAGGCTTGTTCAATCTTAAGATCAGGTACTTATTGAGGTTGAATTATGAGGACAAAATTAGCTCCACGCACTACTAATCAACTATATATTAAGCCTGCTGTTAATCTGGGAATTACGAACTCTGTCGATTTAATTTTTCAAGTGAGCAAGAAAACATCTTGAAAATCTTCCGAAGCTTCAAATTGTTTTGCTGAAACAGCTCACAAAATCGAATATACATGCTGTCAAATGAAATCTTGGCTCCTCCTTCTCTGCTCCACAAATAACGTATACATGGTGTTGGGAGTGCACCTGCCCACAAAGCTCACATGACTCTTATAAAGTTTGATTAAATTCTTGTTTCAGCAATTCGTAACCCAGTTTTGGCATTATTATAAATATCAAATAAAAACACTTATTCGAGCATCACGTTCGATGTTTTACATTATACGCCTACTAAGGTTGATGTTTCGACAGTTTCATAATTATAATTATTAATTTGTTTTCAGTAGGTGGTAATACCTTTACTTGTGGTTCAAACAGTAACTACCTACATGACTTCTGAGCTCTTTTGAATGTTTGGCTCCCGTTTGACAGTTCGACTCGGCTCCCAGATGACAAGCATTTTGAGTTAGTTCGCAGTAATCAGCTGTTAATCAACCAAAAATCAGCTTCTGTTCTTACTGTTCAGCTTGAATTGTTACTTGGGTTGTGTATCCAGAATCACACCTAGGTTCTTAATTTGGCTGACTATACTTGACAATAATAGTCTCTTTCTAGCGCGAAAAAGAGATAATCGAGCATTTGGACGGGTTAACCTCCATATGATTCAGAACACAACTGACGTTGAAGGAAGCAACAGTCTTCAATTGAGTTGAAGGTCATCTGCGTAAGTTAATCGTTGTCCCTCAATTACTAGATTCACGTTGTTGAAGTAAATCAGGAAAATCAGCGGTCCCTGGGGTATGCCGGACGTGGCAGCGAACATACGGCAGTGGAGCGACCAGCCATGAAACCATGCTGGTCGATACTAATATACGGCTTATAGTGAGCGAGTAACGGTTCCATAACAACGAGTTCGAACAATTTAGCAACAGCGCTAAGCGAAGTGATGCCACGGTAGTTGCCAACGTACTGTTTGTTTCCTTTCTTGTGTACTGGAAACATGTGCGCTAGCTTCCAACAGCATGTGAAACGCCGACGTCCACGGACCGTTGAAAAGCGTGCAGCAGTGGAGATAACAAACTGTCCAAGTGCGTTTTGAGAAACACCAATGGAATTTCCTCAGGACCCGGATTGTACGATGACTTCAGTTTCGAGGAAGCCCTGGAAAACATCGCGGGATAGATATCAATTTCGTTCATGGTTTGGCCAGGGAGTGGTACGTAACTAGCAGCCAGTCGGGCATGGTCGTCACTCAATCTTTCGTCCGTGAAGGCACTAGCGAATTTTTCAGAGAACAGCTGACAGATATCTTGCGTAGATGAGGCCACGTTAACATTATATATCATAGACGACGGCAGACCAGCTTCATGA